ACTAACCAAACAGTGTGGTACTGGTACAAAAACAGACACATAGACCAATGAAACAAAAATAGAGAACCAGAAATAAAGCTGCACACCTACAGCCATCTGATCTGTGACAAAGTCAACAAAAATTAGCAATGAGGAAAGGACTCCCTATTCATAAATGCTACTGGAATACACCTGCAATACCTGACTAGCCATACACCAAAGAAAATAACTGGCCCCCCACATTTCACCATATACAAAAACTAACTCAAGATAGATTAAAGATTTAAATGTAAGACCTCAAACTATAATAATACTAGAAGAAAACCTAGGAAACACCATTCTGGACATTGGCCTTCAGAAATAATTTATGACTAAGTCCTCAAAAGAGACTGCGACTCCCCCTAAAAAATTTACAAGTGGGGCTTAATTAGACAAAACACATTTTGCACAGCAAAAGAAACTATCAACTGAATAAATAGGCATCCTACAGAATGGGAGAAAATATTTGCAAGCTATGCATCTGGTAAAGGTCTAATATAGAGAATCTATAAGAAACTTGAACAACTGAACAAGTAAAAAAAAAAAATTGTAAAGTGGGCAAAATACATGAACAAACACTGCTCAAAAGGAGACATACGAAAGGCCAATAAACATATTAAACAGTGCTCCACATCACTAACCATCAGAGTGATGCAAATAAAAACCACAATGAGATATCAATTCACATCAGTCAAAATGGCTATTATTAAAAAGTCAAAAAACAACAGATGCAGGACAGGCTTGGAGAAAAGGGAACACATATAGGCTGTTCGTTGGTGGGAATGTAAATTAGTTCAGCTACTGTAGAAAGCAGTTTGGAGATTTCTCAAATAACTGAAAACAGAACTATCATTCAATCCAGCAATCTTATTACTAGGTATTCATCCAAAAGAAAATAAATTGTTCTATCAAAAAGACACACTTATATGTTCATTGCAGCACTATTCACAATAGCAAGACATGGGATAAACCAAGATGCCCATCAATGGTGGAACAGATAAAGAAAATGTAGTACACATATACCACGGAGTAGTACGCAGCCATAAAAAAGAATAAAATCATGTCCTTCACAGAAACATGGATACGGCTGAAGGCTATTATCCTAAACAAATCAGTGCAAGAAGAGAAAACCAAATACTGCATGTTCTCACTTATAAGTGGGAGCTAAATATTCAGTACTTATAGGCATAAAGATGGCAACGGTAGAAACTGGCACTACTTGAGGGGGAGGGAGAGAGGGAGCAAATGTTGGAAAACTTAACTATTGGGTACTGTGAACAGTGCCTGGTTGATGAGAGAAATCATACACGGAAGCTCAGCATCATGTAATACACCCAGATAGCAACCCTGCATCTGTAACTCCTGGATCTAAAATAAAAATTGACATTATTTAAAAAAAAGAACAGGAAAGAAACAAAACAAAACCTAACAAAAATGCTACCGTCTCCCTACAACTAAATATATGCAACTAAAGCACAAACTAGAATTTTAAAAAATGCAAATACCAAACTCATAGCATTTCTGATGATGAATTTTGTGTCAACTTGGCTGGGCCACAGGATTTCTAAATAAATATATGGTCAAATATTATTCTGGGTTTGTCTGTTGGTGTATTTTGGATGAGATTAACATTTGATTTTGTAGACTGAATATAGCAGACTGCCCTCCCTAATGTAGGTCAGCATCATCCAATCAGTTGAAGGCCTGAATAAAACAAAAAGGCTGATCCTCCCCGAGTAAGAGAATTCCTCCTGCCTAATGATCTTTAAATTGCGAACTCAACTTTTTTTCTGCCTTCAGACTTGAACTGAAGCATTGGCTCTTTGTGGATATTAAACATGCTGGCCTTTAGATGGCACCGTTTGCTTTCCTGGTTCTCAGACTTTTAGACTCTGACTAGAGCTAAACCATTGTCTCTCCAACTTGCTGCACCATTATCTCCAAGTTGCTGACTCATCTGCAGATCTTGGGACTTGCCCAGTTCCATAACTGCTTATGCCAATTCCTTATAGTAAATTTCTTTATATATATAAATATACATATGATTCTGTTTCTCTGGAGAACCGTAATACAGATTTTGGTACTAAGAACAATTCTGGAGGAAGAGAATCTTAAGGATAAACTTAAATAGGTTCTGAGGTTTCTGTGATTGAATCTCTAATCTGATTAGATTTAAAGACTATTGACTCTATTTCTAGTAAAGAGAAAATTAGTGGTCCATGACATGATGTGGCAATAGAGATGCACAAAATATCACCATTAGATGCTCCTAATCAAACATTTACAAGAAGCAAGGGTCTGGATGATCTTGTATTTGATACTTTCCAACATTTTTATCAAACTCATGAGTAAAATGAGGTTGACTGGTTGTTTCTAATGTTGCTGGACAAAGTGGAAAAAGAAAAGGATGACCTTAGGGGTCAAATTCCCAGCTGAAGTGCTGCATAAATGACCTGAAAGTTTCTATGCATGTCCCTGAAATAGACACTTATTTCCTGTAGCTGCAGGGCTGAGGTTGCAGAAAATCAAACCAGAATTTCATCTTGCAAGTGGCTGAATCACAATGCAAGTTGACTGCTAGTATTGCAGGGAGTCTACTATCAAAGTAAAGGCATTGACTTGGAGGGAATAGGGTGCTAAAAGTTGGAATGGAGACATGTGGGAAGACCCTGATGAAGCTGGAGACACTGAGCCCCTAAATAATATCTTCCTTATTACATGGAAGAAGTCTCCACACCCAAGTGCAGGCAGTTTCTCCAGTCCTAGTGGAAGCAGTCTCTTACCCCATCTCTGAGGGGATTAACCCTGCCTTGCCTAAGAAAACTGTAATGTCTTAACATGAGGCAGTTGCCATGCAAGGCACTTCTGCTTCTCCTCAGAATCCACCCCCACCACCATTCCTCTTTCATTTCAGACCTATAACTAGATTCAAGTCCCAGCAGCACCCAAAGGGGAGATATAAAGTATAAGCCATGAGGAAGTGTGCTATACATCAAATGGACAATTTGAGTTTTCTAATGTATACAAGCAGAAATCTGGGGAATATGTGTGGAAATGGATATAAGGGTGTGGGATAATGATGGAAGGAACATAATTTGGATCAGGCCAAATTTGCTAATATGGGCTCACTAAGCAGTGATTCTACATTTAATGTGGCAGCTCAAGGAGTTAGGAAGGACTCTAATTGCTTGTTTGTTTTCTTGGCTGAAACATAGAACAAAAGATAGCATTATTCTGGGAGTTTCTGTGAGGGTGTTTATAAATGACATTAACATTTAAGCAGGTAGACCGAATTCAGCAGATGGTCCTCCCTAGTGTGAGTGGGTCTCATCCAATTAGTTGAAGACCTAAATAGAACAAAAAGTCTGACCTTCCCCTAAGTTAGATAATTATTTTTTTCTGATGGCCTTCATACTGGGACACCGGCTTTTTTTGTTTGTTTTCTGCCTTCAGACTTTATGGATATACCAGCTTGTCCTGGATCTCAAGTTTCCCAGTCTTTGGATGGCAACTACACTATTGGCTCTCCTGTTCTCAGGTCTTTGGACTTGGACTGGAACTATATCATTGGCTTCCCTTATTAGCTTTTAGCAATTAGCTTCTCTGACTTGCTAATTCACCTTGCAGATCTTAGGACTTGCCCACCTCCATGATTGTGTGAGCCTATTCCTTATAATCAATCAGTCAGTCAATCAATCACCCATTGGTTCTGTTTATCTGAAAACCCTAACACAGCATTGTTCCATGAAAGCAATGGATGAAATAATTTTTATACCTCTGGCATAATTCTGGCATAGCAGCATAAAAACTGGCTGTTATGAACATAAAATGAGAAAAACCTTATGGTTGGAGGCTTTCTCTTATACTAGATTTTTAAAAATTATGACAATTACTTGTAATGTAAGGTGTTCTAGATATTATCTGCAAAGAGCACCAGAGTAGCAATACTTAGGCAACCCCAAAGACCTTTGAGAAGTCACAGGTCAAGGGAGAACATCATATGGGGATCAGGCAAATCCACTTATGGGTGCTGGGCCCCATCCTGCTAAGTAATGGCCTTCACTCTAGTGCTGCCAGTCATGTAACAAAAAATAAAATAAAATAGGCCTCCTTTAAAAAATAAGTTTACAAAATAATTGAGTCAATTTCTTTGCTGAAGCCTGTATTCCCTGTTTACTATTGCAAAAGTCATTTATCGAGCATTCACAGCTTGTGAAAATTGCTTTATGAAATAGAAGACCACAAGACTGCATTGCCTGAAATTCTTCTGACCACAACTGGGGGCAACAGGAACTCAAGAGGGCCTGGCTTCCAGGACTATGAAGCCACCAGCTGGTGAGCTGAATCCATCGTGCCACTTAGAAAGTGCAAGTGTGCAGTAATCAAACAGGACTCAGAGGTAATCCACAGGCCACTTGCTGAGTCCAGTCACGTCTGCACCTGATACCATCTGAAATGTAGATCCTGATCCCTTTGGAGGAAATGGGTGAAGGAGAAGTATGAAGTGTAGGTGCAGTAGCAGAGTGGAACTTGATTCACCTATTCCCCAAACTCCCCCAGACACCTGCACTGCTTCCATCTCCTTCCCGTGAAACTCTCAGCCGTGGGACCACCAAAATTGAAATATTTTGGCAAATTAGTATAATAACCAATGCTTCAGAAGAATAATGGAAAATTCCATCTAATTAATATCCAGAAAAAAAGGGAAGTAAATGATAAATGTGGGCATTACTTCTTGTCGCACAGATCAGTTGTGTGGGTTCTTGGAAAGGGAGGGCGCCCTCTGTGTGTATGTGTGTATGCCCAAAAAAGTCCCTGAAGGCAGCTTTCTGTAACTCAACCCTCTCGAAACACTGAATGGCTAGTGAAAAGATTTCTTAGCAGATGCAGAACAAGAGGGGACATCTGATGCCTGTTTTATTCAGTCACCAGTAATCTCTCTTGCATCACTCACTTTTGTTAGAATTGACTAATAGGCAACATGCCTTCACTTGAGCCAGCAGATATAAGCACCATCCTTACAGGCAGGCTTCCTGACTGAGAGCAGGGAGCAGCAGGCATGGGGCACACCGGGCGCCAGTTCCAAGCCCTGCTGTGGAAGAATTGGCTCTGCAGACTCAGGAACCCGGTGAGTGCTTGCCTTGGTTTTCCATAGGGTTCCAGTGAGGTCTGGAGTGAGATCAGGGTCTATTCTTGTCTGCCTGCCTCTGCCTCCTGGCAGGTACAAACACCCACGCTGCAGGGAATTTGGGAGGGTTGGATTATTTTAAATCAAAACCTGTCCCAAGGGTCAAAGTAGCTGAACACTTTAATGACCAGCATGAAATAAAAGCTGAATAATTTATCAGAAAAGGGCAAATTTAGAAAAATTCTAAAAAACAAACAAGCAAACAAAAAACAAGTGGAATTGAACTATAATTTGTATTCTGAGCATTCATTGTAATGACTGACCAGCGAATTTTCAGGTTTAAGGAACAAAGCATTGGCTGCATTTAATGCATAAACAGAATGCTAAAGGTACTGACTCCAAAGCACAAGACTGCACAATGTGCCTCACCAGAGCAGGGCATGACGCGTCCATGCTATGTTATCCTGTAGGGTCACATCTTTAGTGTTATAGAACTTATTTAAATTACATTAGCAAGGTTTTCTAAGCAGATTGGAATTGTTCAAATCAAACTTGTGTGAGTACTTAAGCAAATATCCTGTAAGTGTATGTTTTTATGAAATAGAAATCAATTGCCTATTATTATGATTAACTTTATTCCTGATGTTACTATATAAACATTAACACCTATAAATGTCATTTTTAGAAGTAGATGTGCAGTAATTTACCTACATCATTTCTGATTTTAAGGTCTATAGTTAACCTATGGGATTTTTCTGCTGACAAATGCTTCGGTTTGAAGAGATTCAGTAATTGACATTGAATTACATTTTGCTGAATCCTCAGAGCCAGAATATTCTATCTCTCTGTCTTGAAATAAAATACATGTTAAAGAAGATGTTTTCTTTTTTATGTGATCTTCAGGGTCAAAATAATTTCAGTTGAAAGTTTGTACAAAAGTTTTAAGTTCAGGAATAAAGGAGTGAGACGCTCTTCATCGATTGTTAATGTGTTCGTGTCTGTATAGGTAGTTTTACATTTATAAACAGTGTATTTCATTGTCATGCAAGTTTGTTTTAGGGAATTAGCCTAGTTTCCCATGAAAGAGTGTTACAGGTGAAAGTTGGTTCCCAGGCACTGCTCTTTCCGCTTTATGCTTATCAACCTCAAAACAGTTCGGTGACCGAGGTAGCCAGACTGCCTACTCCTCCTTAATGGCACTTGAGTCTTAAAAAATTTTCACAATTACTTTTGCTACTGAGGTAAACATCCTCATCAGAAGGTTTTATTTGTTTGACAACTGTTTATTTAAAATGTTATCTCCTGCATCCCGACTTTCTTTGCCTTATTTTTCTTTAGTATTTATCATCTTGTAACACAGCACAGATTTTCTTATTTGCCAATTGCCTCTGGATCCTACATTAGTATGTTACATTCATGAGAACTGGACATTTTCCCCAATTGGTTCACCAATATATTGTCCAGCACCCAGAACAGTGCCTAGCACACAATGGATGTTCAGTAAATATTTGTTGAATAAGTAAAAGAAGGAAGGAATAAAGCATTTATGCATCTCTGTTATGTGCCAGATAGTGGGTGAACAAGAAAAGTGAGTTCCCAGCCCGCAAGGAGCTATAGTCTGTTCAGACAAAAGCAACAAAAAATGCAATTAAATATTTAATGAAACCACCTCTTGGGATACATCCTACAGATGTCCTTGTACAAACGGGAAGTGATATTTTTACAAGGTTATTCATTATAGCAATGCCTAGAATAGCAACAGAGTGGAAACAACCCAAGTGGTTCCATGCATGGAATTTGGAGCTGCCTGACTGGGTTCACATCCCAGTTCTGCCACTTACTAGTTTACTTTTTCAGGCAATTTCTTAACTTGGTCTTCTTCTCTGTAAAATGAAATTGTTTGTAAGTATTAAATGAGTTTGTACATGTGATTGCAACAGTACCTGGTATGGGAGCTATTTTCTTATATGGTAGAAATGGGTGGTCTCAGACATCTGTGGACATGAACTGTGGGCTGTGAGGGGAGGAGGCACAGGGTAACTCTCAGTTTGTGGCTTGCACAATTGGGTTAGAACAGAACTCCAGGGGGATAAAATGTGAATATGTTTACATATCTTAATGTTATTACAGTGGAAATATTGAGGGCAAGCCCCTCTGGGTGAATGTCTTTAAACTGACCTATTTTTCACAGTGTTCTCCCATTGTCCAATGATAATCTGTAAATTCTTTGTTTTTGAACTATGAAAGTGAGGTGTTGGCATGAACTGTGGAAAACCAAACTGCCCGAGTGAATAAATGGCCTCAAATATATGTTTCTTTAGTGAGTAAAGCCAGGAACTACTTGTTAGATGAAGGAAACTTGTCTGTTTTTACATTTACTGGTTTTTTTCCTAGCTTTTTTAAAAAAAATAATTGATGCATAATAGATGTCCATAGTGTCAGCACACATGTGATAATTTAATAATTTGTATCATTCATAAAGAGCAAATCAGCATATGCTTTTACATTTGCTTTTTAAAAATCTTTATTATATTTCATGATTATAGTTTCTTCAAAAAAATCTTATTATAGATTCAAACAAAAATTTAAAAAAATAGAATAAAGGATAAATAGTACCCATCATACTTAATACCTAGCCTTATAGATTGTTAAAATTCTGCTATTCTTGGAAAAAACAGTTTCTTACCATTATTTTAATACCATTTATTTTTTCCTCTTGGTTGTTATTTATTATAAAAACAGCACTAAAACAAAAGATAAACATTTTAAGGTCATCTAAAATTTTATTATCCTAATTAACTTACTTTTGTGATCTTTTCTTATCCTTAGGCATACACAATGCAATATTTTTATGTAATTAAAGTCATAGCTTTTTTCCCACGTAATATTGAAGCCTAACATTTTAAAAGTTGCTGTGTGGTCTTCTTATTTAATGGTTTTATTGAATAATAGTTAATCAGTTGGATACACATAATTATTTGACCATTTCCTTATGTTGAAGATTAAAGTACTTTCCAGCCTTTATTGTTATGAATAACATCATTATGCACAAAGGATACACCTTCTCCTGGATCATTTCTCTTGAATAAACTTATTCCTGGGGAAGATTCTGGGTCAAGGTAAGGACACATTGCTTCTGGGCAGGTGGAGAGCAGTTGACGATGCCTCAGGGGTGTCCCCATGGATAGTTCCAGTGCAATGCCATCAACATTGTCAAATATTCAGTGGCTTCGAGCCATGCTTTTCCACATGAATTTCTATTAATTTCTACATTTTATTCTAACTGTAAACCAATCTAATTCATTACTTATTTTACTTTTTTTAATTTTAATTTTAATTTTTTAAAATTGACATAATAATTGCACATATTCATAGGGTACATAGTGATGTTTCAATACAAATAATGTATGGTGATCAGATCAGGGTAATGAGCATATCTGTCATGTCAAATGTTTATTATTTCTTTGTGTTGGGGACATTTAATATTCTCCTCGTAGTAATTTGAAGCTATATGATATATTATTATTATTATTTCATACGGAGTTTTGCTCTTGTCACCCAGGCTGGAGTGCAATGGCATGATCTTGGCTCACTGCAACCTCCGCCTCCTGGGTTGTAGGGATTCTCCTGCCTCAGCCTCCCGAATAGCTGGGATTACAGGCACGTGCCACCATGCCCAGCAAATTTTTGTATTTTTAGTAGAGATGGGGTTTCACCATGTTGGCCAGGCTGGTCTCGAACTCCTGACTTCAGGTGATCCACCTGCCTTGGCCTCCCAGAGTGCTAGGATTACAGGCCTGAGTCACTGCACCTGGCCTATATGATACATCATTGTTATTATATAGTCATCCTACAGTCATATAGAGCACTCGAACTTATTCCTCCTATCTAGCTGTAATTTTGTATCCTTTAACAAATCTATCCCTATACTCTGCCTCCTGCTACCTTCACCAGCTACTTCTTATCTTAGAGAATTAACAACAGCAACAACAATAACAACAACAGCAACAATAACAACAACAACAACAACAACAACAACAAGAAAATCATGTAAGCCAAGTGTAAGCTCCTTGGATAGCTCTTAGTTCTGCAGTCTGTTTGGGTCCTCCCGTGTTTTAATGTTGAACAGAGCAGCTGAGCCTGTAGCATGTGTACTGTGGATGGCACACTTCCCCTAATCTATCCTTCAAATCATGGAGCAGTGACCATTCATAGGGTCGTTGTTGTCTCCAGGACCCTACATCTCTTGACACCTTGGATCTCTGTTCTGAATCTTGCCTCCTGTGACTGCTACTCACTCCTTTCCCTCCCCACCCAATTGGACAGGACTCTGATCCCTTACTCCATTAAGGAAAGCTGATATCCTGTAAGTGATATCAGCTTTTTGGGTTTGGCTGGCCAATTTTACTGAAGACTTGGGCTAGTGGAAGAGGGTTGAAGCATAGATTAATACAAGGACATCAATGTTTTAAAAAACTCATGGTTCTCTCCCAGCTATGGGCTGGAAGAGGATAATGGAAACAACAAAACTACACTGGCCACAGTTTTACTAGGAACATCCTTCTGCCCATGGAAACCACGCCCCAGAACCCAGTGACAGATACCCAGATGTCTACCATACATAAAGCACCGCATTCTTGATTTAAAAGCCCACAGTGATAAAATGCATACTTTCTTTTAGTCACGAATAAGAATTATGGTGTCACACCAGGGTTCATCCTCTGACCTGGCCTGTGGGGAATACGCAGAAGCCTATTAGAGTGTCTGAGTTCAAATGCCATCCCTCCCACCAGCATTAGAGAGACCTGAGTCAGCTCACCCAAACCCAGGCTGAACCCCTGCTGGGCTCTGCCGCTGCCCATCTACCTCCTAGCGATCTACCCTGGGGCTTGGGAGAAAGCTTTCCAAGATCACTACCTTGGAAATCACTTTTTTTCCTTTAAGAGGTAAAGAAACATATTCTAAAGTTTCAACTACTTCAAACCTCAGAGCTTTTGTGT